GGTGGGCCACGTCTCCGGTAAAGGGCTTATCTGTTACTTTTCTGCGAAATTTCCGAAGCAGCGGGTCCTGGGAGCACACAGAGCAGCAGTCCCGAAGCCTCACGCACAGGCTTCTCCCCAGAACAGCTCGTCCACAGCGCACGTCGGCGAACGGGGACGCGCAGAGCCCCGTGCACACGCGCTCGCCGGCCGCTCCTGCACGGGGCTGTGTTTTCATACAGACGTAAATTTTGAGAGAAAAGTCAAAGGTGCTTCAGCCTTGTACTGTGTATATATATTAAAAAACAAAGTTTTGTATGTTTTTATTACTTTATTGTTATAAAAAGCCTGCCATTTTTAATATGTGGTCCGGGGGGGGATTTTTGTTTGTTTTCCTGTTTGGGGGTTTTGTTTTTTTGCTTTCGTTTTTCCGGGCAAAAAAACTTGCTTTTAGTGTTTGTACTGCTGCTGGTCAGGACCTTAAAATATTGAAGTGTTTTTAAAAATTAAAGAAGAAGAAAAGTAAAAGAGCTTACCACTGGCGCCTACCGCTCACTTCATTTTGAGTCACACGGGAAGGTGAGGTAGAAAGCCACGAGCTGCTCCTGCTCCTGTCCCCGCCCCCGGCTCCGGGCAGCAAGAAGCGCCCGGTGCTGCTGAAGAGGGGCTCAGCCCCAGGCGGGGGCGAGCAGGGCCGTGCACGTGCACGTGCGGCTCTGTTGAAAGGCCCGGTCAGGGAGGGAGCCTACAGCTCCCTGTAGGGTGTCCTACAGCAGTCTGAGAACAGGTGCAAAGTAGAAACTTTAGAAGCTTTATCTAGATGCAAAGCTTTGTAAAAGCCTAAAAGTAGGGTAAACCACATCTGAGTTGAACTCCTCTCGAGCTCACGGTCAGGAGCGCAGGAGCGGCTAGGAAGTGGCACTGCCATCTCCGTGCAGAGCAGCGTGTCCCCCCACCCCGCTTCGGCTCAGTCAGGCAGCGTCTAGTCGCTCCGGCAGGGAATCCGGCCCAAGCCAGAGGCCAGCGCAGCCAGCAGTTGGTCTGTCAGGGGGATGGGGGTGGAGGCAAGAATCCTCATGGCCGCTGTCCCCTTCACCCTGGGTCAGGGGACGGACTGGCCGACCTTCAGGAAGGCTCTGCGCCGCGATCAGCGGCCGCGCCCCCAGCCCCAGACCTCAGCTGTGCGGAGCAGCTTGCTGGCAGATGGCACTGTGTTGCTCTGTCTGTCCCCACACCGTTTGCTTTGTGCGTCTGCCAAGAATCTTCCAGTTATTAGCAAACTCAGACGAGAAGTGCCGCCAGTATTAGCAGCAGTCAACAAGCGCCTTCCTCGCCGCAAAAATGACTTGGAAAGAACGAAGGCCTGTTCCGGGGGCCTCCTCCCCAGCAAGGACAGGGAGAGCAGCAGTTGCACAGGTGGGGACAGGCGTGTACGGGGAGCGCTGCAGCCAACAGGCAGGGGAAGCAATTACTGAGTCTCGAGGCGGCTCGCTACTGCCAGTCCGCCACTGGAGAGTCCGATCTCAGCGCCTCACTCTGTCCCCGACCGGCCCAGGAAAGGCCTGGAAGCCCTGCTCATCAGCGTGGCAATGGCCAGAGCGAACAGGGAGCACAGCCCAGCCCTTCAACAGCCAGGGGACGTGGTGGTTCTCCGCACTGGGCGAGGTCCTGGGTTTAAGGGAGGCAGCACCCGGGAGGTCTGTGCGCACGGGCACACGCCGCGTCCCTGAGCCGGCACTGCCCCTGTCCCTTCCGATGGAAACTGCCACCTTGCCCCTGCCCTCCTGCTTCTGTCCCTCTGCCTCCCGCTCTTGATCTGTAATAAGACAATCAGAATATAACCCGTCAGGTAGCGTGAAGAAACGCAGAGAAAGGCAAGGAAGCATCTTTAGAAAACAAGAGTGTCCCACTAAGACCTGGCGCCCAGCCACAGTGTCTGCGTGGTCGTTCTCTGACGACGCGGACCGCACAGCGGCACCCGAGCCTCTGCGGTTCAGGTGTGCAATCTGACACGCACGCACACTCTGGAGCTTTCTGTGAGGCCGATTCACACGGGGCTTAGGAGACGAGGTGGAGTGGCATAGCACACTCGCTCCAGGGTGGCCGCGCCGCCCGTCAGTGCTCTGTGAGCTCCTGCCTCACAGCCCCGCCCGCCCGCCCCCCCTTCTGTCTGTCCCGAAGGGCACCCCGTGAAGCCCCGGTGTGGGGCTCCACGCGCAGTCAGGTCACTAGAAGCAGACCAGAGCCCCCCACACTCGGCGCTACAGAACCTCCCTTGGAAATGTTCTGTTTCGCATAATTAGAGCCAAATGGACCTAAAACAGGGTCCCGGTCCACTGTCCCAGACAAGTGGCGAGAAGGGACCTGCCCGGTCTCGCCTGCAGAAAGCACAGGCTCAGCACCTACTTGGCGTTGAGAGTCCAACAGCGACCGTCCGTGAGGAAGTTCCAGGAATAGGAAAGGGCGCACACACGGGCAGCGGCCGAGAACTAGGACACAGACCTCAAGTTCGTGTGAGGGACAGTGTTCGCCTCAAGCAGCTCCGTGGCACTGCCAAATCTCAAAAACCCGACGTCCACCCCAGACCCTCCAAGCGGTTTTAAGTAGGAAATTCCAAGGATCTCCCACAAGATGGAGGGTCAGCACAAGCCCATCCTGTCCCCTTAGGTGCGCGCTAGCCGCTTAGCAGCCGTCCCCGCGCTCCCCGAGGAAACCAGCTCTAGCTTCCTCCCCACCCGCCGTGGTCTGTCTGTCCCAGCTGTCTGACCCAGCACTGGAGCGAGACTCTGATCTCCGCCTTGACCCGAGGAAGACCGCGCTAACTGGTTGTCACTTGGTGTGTGCCCTGTGCTTGAGGGACAGCAGCAGAACCAGCACACGGGAGGGAAGAGGAAAGCCTCGGTCACCCTGGGGGCGGTTTAGATGCTGTGAAATTAAACCTGTTCTAAGTGTACTTGTTTGAATTAACTGTATTGTAATATTATTTGTTGAATGTAGTAATTAGATATTTATGAATATATTCCTGTAATTTCTGACAACATCCAAAAAAATAAAATCTTCCTAAATCACGTTAAGAGGAAAATCTTTGTTCTGACAGGGCCACAGTGGCGGGCAGGGGAGGAGCGCTCCGCCACGGAGCCTCACCCGTCAGACACGAGGTCCGCTGGCCAGTGGCTTCACCGGGTTTCAGAGCACAAGAGTTTGAGGTGGGGGAGCTCAAGGGTCCCCGGACCCTCCTCTGTGCCATGTGGTTTCATTCTGGCAGAGTCCCCAGGTGGAAAGGCAAGTCCCACCATCCAAAAGCGACCCTCTAGAACCGTCCCCTTACGTGACAGGGACCGGGTGCTCGTGTCTGGCCCTTTGGTGTTCAAATAACGACCCCAGCCGTTTCCGGAGGGACAGCAGCCTGGCCATCTGGGACCGAGAAAACATGCCTGCGGAGCGCGGTGGGGGAGCTGGGCTTTGAACACCGAAGGGCAAAAGCTGGAAGCTGCCGCGAGGCTCAGGTGACCGCGCACTCACTGCGGAGAGAGAATGTGCTCGGCGGTGCCACTGTCAGACCCACGGGCCGCCAGCGCTTCCGTCCCTCTAGGACTCTAGACAATCGTTCCTGCTATCAAGGTCAGGTCACTTCCAGGGCAATTCCAACCACTACGACTGAGGAGTGCTTCTCCTGGGAACGGACCCTCCGTTGAGACGCTGCTGCCTCCAGCCAGGTCTCCCCCATCCGTCCCTCAAGAGCCACGCTACGGGCCCGATGTCCCCTCCCAGCAGCCGGACTCCAGCCTCACACAGCCCAGACCGTGCAGTCTGCTGGTCTCCGGCCTTTCTCTAGGTGTTAGGAACGGGAGAGCTCTACAGTCGCACAGGTCGGGTCCCTGTGGAACCTTCGCCCCCGTCTCCCGGTCCCGAGCTGTTCGCTAGCACCAGCCTTGTCTTCTGCGGTCCCCGTGACTCCTTCATTCTCTGGGGTTCCTTTTGCTGCTCTCCTAGGGTCTTTCTCCTCACAGAGGCTGTTCTCATGTCAGTGTTTGGGTCTGTTTTCCCTTTGCATAACCCAAAGAGCCCTGAGTCCTGCCAGGCGTCCTGCCACCAGCAAATGGGTTCTGAATCCAAATACAAAGGTGACAGCTGGTGTGGTCTTGTCCGTTGCGGCTAGTTTCCCCGGCATTTCTCTCTCAGAGAAGGCAGCGTCGCCTTCCCGGGGTGAGGAACATCGGTGACCATCTGTTTCCACTGAAGGAGGCCAGTTGGTCATGAACTTCCCCGTCTGGCCAGTTACGGTGCTGCTTGTGCTGGCGGCTGTGCGTGAAGCAGCCAGGGAGTTCCCACCTTTCCTCCGGACAGAAATCCACTACACCCTGACCCACAGCAGCCCAGAGACGAGAGGTGCCCCCAGTGTCAGTCTAAAGGGCACCCCTTCCTGCCACACATCCCCATGTGGTCAGTCAGACCGTTCCAGCCACGGGACTCGCTCCCTTCCCTCTGTGGTAGTGCAGGGGAGAAAACCCCACGCAAGGTCTGGCGGGGGGTCCGTCTTTGGGGGGCTCCGATGGCAAACCCGATCAACGTCCTGCCACTCATCTGCCGTCCTTCTCTGCGTGAACGAACTCCGGGAGAGTCCAAATTTAGCCCAAGGGATCAGGATCAGAAAAGGGGAAAAAGCCCCGGGCTACCTCGCCACTCCCACTGTCTCTCTCTTTCTCAGAAAAGACCCCTCGAGGTCACTGACTTCCCCCACAGGATGACACCTCACAGGAGACCGCAGGCTCTGCCGGGAAAGTAACTCGTTTTGCCAAAGCTGCGTTCCTTCCCCATAAACGAACGCGGCTCCCACAGACAGAGCTGGGACGAGACCGTCTCAAGGACCAAGCACAAACCTATTGCTTTCCAGCAACGTTATGAACCACTCCTTGTTTCATGACAGCTTTTCATACATTCAGAAAGGGTTCTAGAACTCCGAAGCTCACAGTACCTCTGTCGGGTCTCGTGCTCACACGGTGTCTGGAAGCCAGAGGCACACAGGCACAAGCGGCCAGCCTTCGCCACGGGCCGGGCCCTTCTCTAGAAGTCCTGGGACGGCGCGCCCTGAGCAGGCTGCAGGTTCGTGCGGAGTTTGTACATGTGATCGAGCGCTCGTGTGAGGAAAGCCCCGCTCGTGTTGATCTCCATCAAGGTCAGGTTGTCCAGCTGAAACACAAGAGAAGACCAACCCGGTTGAGGGTCTGATTTTGACAAAATGTACGATCTACGGAATAAAAGTAAGTAGTCACTGAATAATGGGGCTGTTTTGGTTTGGGTTTGGTCACGCAGGCCGGGCACAGCTGGGAATCCCTGCTGGCAGCGGTCCGAGCAGACGGGGCATGGGGACCACTCGCTGTCTAACACCTGTGGCCCCGGGCTTCACGGGCACATGGGGAGGGCCAGCTGCCACAGGAGGCCCGAGCCCCCGCCCCGTGTGCGCCTACCTTGGCATGTGCCTCCTGCTGCCTCACGAAGCTGTCGGCGGACACCCGCAACTTGGCCATGCGAGTGTCCCACACGTCCTTCACCAGGGTCCGGATTTCATCTGCTTTGGGGATATTGTCCGAAGCGCTACAGAAGCAAGAGCAGAGCAACAGATCACATGGGGGGCACTTGGTAAAGTAAAGCGACAACCAGGGGGAAGTATGCTGGTGTCGGCAGGTCCCGCAGCGAAGGTGGAGCCCAGACTCGCAGCCCCGAGGTCAGGGGTCGCAGCCGCCTCCGGCCGAACCAGCCAGGAGCCCTCCGCTCTTTTGGACTTTTGGAAACACAAGCAAAATGTGTTTTCCTTTGTTTTCAATTTTAAAATGTAAAAATTTCCAGCAGTTAAGTTTGCTGCCAAGGAAACTCAGCCGTGGGGATGCCTGCGTGTCTCTATCGGTTGGACGGCTGCCTTCGGCGGGGGGCGTGACCGAGCCCTGCGGTCCCGGGACCAAGGCCTGCACAGGGCTCCCTGCTCAGCAGGGAGTCAGCGTCTCCCTCTCCCCCACACTTGTGCTCTCTTGCTAGGTCTGTGGCTATCTCGCTCTCTGAAACGAATAAAATCCTAAAAAACCAAAACAGCTCTGCCACGATCCACACCGCCGTCTGCGCTCATGTTAAGCGGCTCATGGCAGCCGCGACGCCGACTCCGGAGGACAAGCGCGGAATCGGACATCCTCCTCCCGGGGTGACCGAGGTTCTGTGCTACAGAATCTCCATCTTGAAGGAACCTGCTCCAAGGGCTGGCTCGGAGGTCACGACTGCCGTTGCTCCATCATTGACCCAAGGGCTTACACCCCCCGGGGAAAGACAACAGCTCCGTGCCGGGCTCTGAGCTCCGCATTCAGGGCATTTCTATCCTCCCAGCACACTCTGAAGGAAGTACCACGTCACTCCGCAGGGGAAACACAAGGCCACTTACAGAAACCACAGGCTAAACTGCAAATTAGTATAAACCGAGCGTCCCACCACCCAGTGAATTCTGGGTAAAAGTCTGAACAGGAGTCCACGAGGGTCACTGCGACAGCCGTCCTGTGGTGAGCTGCATTTTGGATCCTTCTAGGCCATTCTAGTGTTTTGAAGGAAGCTCACACCCAGCGTGGAACCCAGTGTGGGGCTTGAACTCACAACCCGGAGGTCAAGACCCGAGCTGAAACCAAGAGTCAGATGTGCAGCGGACTGAGCCGTTCAAGTAAGCTTTGAAGGAAAAGACAAAACCCAAGATGAAAGCAGAAGCTAACAAGGCCCATCGCCGGGCATGCTGGGAGAGCGGAAACGGCCTCTCTCCCTGCCAGAACAGCTTGTGCTGCGCAGCGGGGAGTCCGGGGCTACGAGCTACATGGCGGTTGTACTTAGGAGCTATGTAGCGGGTTATACTTAGGATCCAAACATTTGGGTCTGATACTCTGAACAGCTCAGGAATGGAGGACCGTCGATTCGTTAACGGACGTGCCGGACAAAGGTGAACGTGGGTCCCTCGGCCAAACGAGCTACAAAGGATCACAAAACCGACGTCCCGACAGGAACTGCACGCGTAAGATCCTGAACCCCCAAAACTGAAGGTGAACAGGCCCCGCACCTCTGCCGCCACGTCTTCCCTTCCAAGTCCCGCCGCCACAGAAGGCTCTCCGCTTCGTCCAACGACATGCCCCAGCCAGCCACCGTCCCCAGGACACGCAGCCGCAGAGCAATAGCCTCAGCTCCCTGACGCCCTACCTGGCCTACATCAACCCCAGCCGCTCTGCTCGCCCGAACGTGTGTGCCCGTTCACGCGTCCCCGCTTCTCCCCACAGTGTCCTCTTCTGTGGTGAATCTTCCCTCCCCCAAGCCTGGGCTCCCTTCAATGACACCATCACGCGCTAGGTCTGCATCCCGACATGACCTAACAGCCGGGACACAGAGACTCTCAAGCAGGCTTCGTGCCCAGCGTGGATGCTGACATGGGGCTCAAGTGCACAAGCCCGAGACCATGACCTGAGCCAAAAATCAAGAATCAGACACTTAACCGACTGAGCCACCCAGGCGTGCCAGTCCATGCCCTTTAGAACTTGGGCGGGGCGGGGCGGGCAGCCCAACTAGTGATTAGAGGATTACTGGTGACAAAAGGCGCGGGGGCTACTGAGCTCCCAGGAGGACAGGCACCCTTAACCTGTGACAGAGCTCCAGTCAGGCGGAGCCAAAGGACGAACAGACAACAGACGGACAAACTGGACAGAGGACACAGTGTATGAAAGCCTGGAGGACCCTGGTATGTGGGAGGGGAAGAGGCCCATGTGGCCCTGGAACCCAGAGCAGCAGGGAAACCCGTCGGAGCCACAGAGGAAGGCAGAGGGAGTCCGGCTAGGCAGAGCCCCGCATGCCGCCATGAGGACCACGGCCATGACCCTTCACAGGCTCTGAGGAACAGATGAGCCACGTGGCAGCCCCATCTTTAAAAGTCCATTCTGGCTGCAACGTGGAAGAGGAGTCAAAGCAAGTGGGGAGCCCGAACTGAACACGGGGAAGCAGGACGCTGCTGCCCCACATGTGCTGCCACCGTGGGCTTTCATCATGGCCAGGGCTCGGAGCAAGTGTGAGCCTCTGGCCTTTCCTGTGAAACACAGGCCAGAACTCACATGCGCATAGTGAAGACCGGAGGGTAAAGCCTCGCCAGTGAAACAGAGCTGCGGTTAAGCAGAAGGTTAGAGAGGATAACGGAGACTCACCACTGTCCAGGGTCAAGCAATAGAGCGGCGAGGAATTCCCTAGGAGCAGGAGGGCTGGGAAGGGAAGGACAGATGGGAGAGCCCAGGCAAAAGGGTGCAAGCGCACGAGCACCTCCCGGGTTACCGACCCAGGAGCTGGGGGGCCGGGACAGCCCTCACCTTGGAGTCGAACATGGAACAGGAAGGAGAGACAGGGTCAGGGATGAGTGTCAGGAGCTCTACCTCCCACACAGCTCTGCGGAGGGGACGCACTTACTGATTCAGCAGGAGTTTGGTAAGTTCCATGTAGTAAGGGCTGGGCATGGGGGTGAAGGTTTCTTCCTGTCGTTCATGATCCCTGATCTTCTCCAACTTCTCTGAAATTGAGAAATGTATACATTTTACTATCACCATATCCAAATATTTGTTGAAGCTTTCCAGATTTACCAAGTGTCTCTATTACCTATTGGATCAACTAACAAAAACAAAGAGAAAACACTTTTTGCTTTTAACTCTTTTCTTTTTTAAAATTTTATTTATTTGACAGACAGAGATCACAAGCAGGCAGAGAGGCAGGCAGAGAGAGAGGAGGAAGCAGGCTCCCCGCTGAGCAGAGAGCCCGATGCGGGGCTCGATCCCAGGACCCTGAGATCATGACCTGAGCCGAAGGCAGAGGCTTAACCCACTGAGCCACCCAGGCGCCCCAAGAGAAAACACTTTTTTGGAATAACATATCACTAGATGATTCAGGGCCCATTTCCTCAAAAGTTTCTCTTATTGGGGGGGGCGCCTGGGTGGCTCAGTTGGTGAGACATCTGGCTTCGGCTTGGGTCATGATCTCAGGGTCCTGCATCGGGCTCCCTGCTCAGCGGGGGGCCTGGTTCTCCCTCTCTGCCTGCCGCTCTGCCTGCTTGTGCTCTCTCTGTCCAATAAATAAATAAAATCTTAAAAAAAAAAAAAGTTTTTCTTATAGAAGTTGGTAATTTCTTGTTGGCGTTGGTGTGCCTGGGTGGCTCAGTGGGTTAAGCCTCTGCCTTCAGCTCAGATCATGATCTCAGGGTCCTGGGATCAAGCCCCGCATCGGCTCTGCTCAGCAGGGAGCCTGCTTCCTTCTCATTCTCGCTCTCTGCCTACTTGTGATCTCTGTCAAATAAATAAATAAAATCTTAAAAAAAAAAAAATTCTAGTTGTGTTGCTGCTCTGGACTGCAGGATATATTACTGGAGAAACTGTGTCAGAGTCAGAAGTTCTTTTCTAGGGGAAAGAGACAGCATTCTCTCTTTGATACAAAAGGTGATGAAAGTAACCAGTGACTGAAGAAATTTACTTATACACCCCTGAGCCCTTGTTCAGAGGGAAGCAAGAGGACATAAACCGCAGCCCCTCTAGCCTGTGGGTGAGACGCAGATGACAGAGGGCCTGAGCCCAGCATCTAGAATCCTGCAGTGGAGTCCCAATTCCATCCAGCAGCAGGTCCCCCCTCTCTCTCTCCTTGTCTCATGGGTCTGAGAAAGTCCTGGATCTGGACTGGCCACTGAAGCTGAGGGACACACACACAACCGTGCTGGGGGTGGGGGGAGCAGGCTTTCAGCGCTGGGCGCCCTCCTCAGGGGCCCTTGGTGCCATGCCAAACCCAACCTACTGCCCTGCTCCATTCACGCTCCCGCTCTTACCCGATGCCCTTCTGAGAAACTGCACGCCCCTGCCAGCTGCCAGCACACTGCACCTCCACACTTGTCCCTGTGCGCAACGGACACCCCTCCAGGTGTGTTCTGGAACTCCTCTCCGACCAGCACAGAACACCACCCCAGCAGCTGTCTCTCACTCAAGCTGGTTGTGCCTCAGTACTTAACTGTCCCACCAGCTCCCTGCAACGTCTTCCACCTGAAGAAAATCCTACCGGCACCTGGCTCAGTCGGTTGAGCACCTGACTCTTGATTTCAACTCAGGTCATGATCTCAGGGGCCTAGAATCCAGCCCCGAGTCAGGATCCCCAATAAGCATCGAGTCGTCTTCTCTCCCTCTGCCCCTGGTTCATGTGCTCTCTCCCTTGCTCACTCGGTCTCTCAAATAAATAAAATCTTTAAAAAAATAAAAAATAAATAAATATGGGCGCCTGGGTGAATCAGTCGGCTAAGCACCTGCCTTCGGCTCAGGTCATGATCCCAGGGTCCTGGGATCCAGCCCCGCATCGGGCTCTCTGCTCAGTGGGCAGCCTGCTTCTCTCTCTCCCACTGCCCCTCCCCACCAGCTCATGCTCACTCTGCTGTCTCCTTCTCAATAAACAAAAATTTTTTTAAAGATTTTATTCATTTATTGGACAGAGAGAGACCGCGAGAAAGGGAACACAAGCAGGAAAAGTGGGAGAGGGAGAAGCAGGCTTCCCACTGAGCAGGAGCCTGATGTGGGGCTGGATCCCAGGACCCCAGGATCATGACCTGAGCTGAAGGCAGATGCTCAACAATGGAGCCACTCAGGTGCCCCTCAATAAATAAAATCATTAAAATAAATAAATAAGGGACACCTGGGTGGCTCAGTCGGTTAAGCATCTGCCTTCACCTCAAGTCATCATCCCAGGGTCCTGGTATCAAGTCCCACATGGTGGGGGGGGGGGGGCTTGCTCAGTGGAGAGCCTGCTGTTCCCCCTACTTGTGTCCTGACAAATGAGTGAATAAAATCTTTAAAAAAACCTGCTTAAATAAATATAAATAAATAAAACCTTACTAAATAAAACATGGCAGAGAAAGACAAAGGTCATATGATTTTACTCATATGTGGAATTTAAGAAACAGAACAGAGGATCATAGGAAGGGAAAGTAAAGTAAGACGAAATCAGAGGGTGAGACAAACCTTAAGACTCTTAGCTACAGGAAACAAACTGCGGGCTGCTGGAGAGGAGGAGGGTGTGGGGACGGGGTGACCGGCAGTGAGGAGGCCACGGGATAGATGAGCACTGGGTGTTCCACGTGCCTGATGAACACCGACCTCTACCTCGGAAGCTACTACTACACTATGTTAATTAACTGAGTTTAGATAAAAAATTTTTTAGATTTAAAAAATAAAAATTTTAAAGATTTTTTTATTTGAGAGAGAAAGAATGAGAGAGAGAGAGAGAGAGAGAGAGAGAGAGTCTGAGAAGGGGGAGGCTCAGAGGGAGAAGCAGACTGCCCCCCAGCAGGGAGCCTGATATGGGGCTCGATTCCAGGACTCCAGGACCATGACCCAAGCCGCGTAGTCGCTCAACCAACTGAGCCACCCAGGTTTCCCTAAAAAATAAAATCTTAAAAAAAAAAAAACCTTCCCAATGCCAGCTACCAAATCATAATTTTTTAAAGATTTTATTTATATATTTGACAGAGACCCAGCGAGAGAGGGAACACAAGCAGGGGAAGTGGGAGAGGCAGAAGCAGGACTCCCGCTGAACAGGGAGCTCAATGCAGGGCTCGATCCCAGGACCCCAGGATCATGACCCGAGCCAAAGGCAGATGCTCAACGATGGGAGCCACCCAGACGCCCCCAAACCATTTTTTCAAAAGTTAACTTCCTTTCTTTGACCACTCGAGTGGGTGTCTGTCCACCCCCCTGACCCACGCCAGTCAACGCCAGGGCCCACGACCTCTGCTCAGCCACGCCCAGTGGTTCCATCTCTCCTTGACCATAACCGTTCGTCCTTGACCTCAAAAAGATGACTCCTCGGAGGATATCTATCACTTGATTTCCGGAACGCCACCCTGAGTTCTCACCTGGATACCTCTGGGCCGTCCTGACCGTGCTCAGCACTGTGGTATAGAGCTCAGACCCCGCCCGCTTTACCGCCTAAACCCACACCCCATGCGATGTCCTCCCGCTTCATTTCAATACCATCAACGCACTCTTGAGGACGTCACACTTGCATGTCCCCAAGTAAGCCCCTTCACCAACTTCCTGACCAAACACTCCGGCCCACGCCCCTTCCACCCGGGTATCTGCTAGGCACCTCCGGGGTGACAGGGCCAAACCCCAGCTTCTGGTCCCTCCCCCAGCCCTCATGTTCCTACAGCCTCCCCCGCCCAGGAGGCAGCAACTCTGTGTCTTTCCACAGTTCAGGCCAGCGACCCTGCCTGTCACTCCTCAGTCTCCTCTCAGATCCCATAGTCTGTCCTTCAGCAAATCCTGCGGATTCTGCCTTCAAAACACACCGAGACGGGGCGCCTGGGGGGCTCAGTGGGTGAAGCCTCTGCCTTCAGCTCAGGTCATGATCCCAGGGTCCTGGGATGGAGCCCCGCATTGGGGTCTCTGCTCAGCGGGGAGCCTGCTTCCTCTCTCTCTCTCTCTGCCTGCCTCTCTGCCTACTTGTGATCTCTGTCAAATAAAATCTTTAAAACAAACCAACCAACCAACAATAACACACCAAGACTCCAACCATGGGAGCCCTCCTCCAGCAGCCGGTCACACTACTCGCGGCCTGGAAACTCCCCGCTGCCCTCCCCACACACACACCTTCTCCACGCGGTTGGCAGGTTCCTTCCTAGCATCTAAGTCAGAGCATGAAACAGCGCCTGGGATGAATCCAACAGACTGATGGCACCCGCGCGGGCCAGATGTGCAACTGGGAGCTCTCCCGCGGCTCCAGCGGGATCAGAACAGCTCATCCACTCTGGAGGGCTGGGAGGTCCTTACACAGCCAAGCACGGTCTGCCCTATAACCCGGCGTATTTACCCAAGAGAGGTAACAAGTATCCACAAGCTGACCTAGACGGGAATGTTCCCAACAGCCTCACTAGCCACAGCCAGAAATGGGAAGCCGTCAAGTAGCCAGAGGCCGAAGAATGGGTGACCTGGCCCGGGGGGGGGGGGGGGGGGGGGCGCGAGTGACATGGCGCTGGGCGGCAGAAGACTGTGTAGCGCTACCTGTAGCCACAGGAATGATCCCAAAGCCAGTGCCAGCGCCGCTTCTGGGGGGCTCAGTGTTGAGCACCCGATTTGTGATTTCAGCTCAGGTCATGCTCTCTGGGTCATGGGGTGGGGGGCTCCACGCTCAGGGGGGAGTCTGCTTAGAGATCCTCTCCATCTGCCCTTGCCCCACTCACAAGGGTGCACTCTCCCAAATCCACAAATCTTAAAAAAACAAAAACAAAACAAAACAAAAAAACAAATACAAAAACAAACCAGGGACGCCTGGGTGGTTCAGTTGGTTAAGTGTCTGCCTTCAGCTCCAGTCATGACCCTAGGGTCCTGGGATGGAGCCCCAAGTTGGGGGGTCTGCTCTCCCTCTCCCTGTCGCTCCCCCTGCTTGTGCTGTCAAATAAGTAAGATCCTTAAAAACAGGGCACCTGGGGGGCTCAGGTCATGATCTCAGGGTCCTGGGATCAAGTCCCGAGTCAGGCTCTCTGCTCAGCGGGGAGCCTGCTTCCCTCGCTCTCTCTGCCTGCCTCTCTGCCTACTTGTGATCTCTGTCAAATAAATAAATAAAATCTTAAAAAAAAAAAAATCCTTAAAAACAAAACAAAACGGGGGCGCCTGGGTGGCTCAGTGGGTTAAGCCTCTGCCCTCAGCTCAGGTCATGATCCCAGGGTCCTGGGATCGAGCCCCACATCGGGCTCTCTGCTCAGTGGGAACCTGCTTCCTCCCTCTCTCTGCCTGCCTCTCTGCCTACTTGTGATCTCTGTCAAATAAATAAATAAATCTTAAAACAAACAAAAAACCAGAGTGAGAGAAGTCAAGAGACAAAAACAGACTTACTAGGGGACTCCATTCACAGGACCAAAGCAGGCAGAGCCCCCCCCCCGGCACAGCAGAGGGCGGCCGGCTCTCGGCCATGCTCTACAGACCAGCCAGTGAAGCTTCAGCACTGCCCATGCAGCGTGACCCCGGCCGTGGGAAAGCTCGGGCTCGCTCTCCCCACTTTTCTGACTGACCTGTGAGGAGACAGGCTCTTGCCCCCATCACCTTCAGCGTGGACGGGCCAAAACTGCCAGAAGGAGATGTCGTGCTAACAGCCAGACCTGGCGGGGCTCCCTGCCAGAGCCCCTCAGGAAAAGGATTGGGAGCTTCCCTTTGCTGCAGACGTGCCAGGGCCACCACCCACCCCTTTTAGGACCAGAAGGGGAAAATGCCCGGGCGGTCCTTCTGAAACTGTATTTCAAGGCCTAGTTCATAGTGTCCCTGCTTTTTTTTTTTTTCTTAGAGATTTCATTTATTTAATAGAGAGCGAGAGAGAGAGATAAAAAGAGAGAAAGCACAGGTAGAGGGATCTGCAGGCAGAGGGATCTGCAGGCAGAGGGAGAAGCACCCTGCTCGCTGAGCAGGGAGGCCGATATAGGACTCGATCACAGGACCCCGTGGTGATGACCTGGGCAAAGGCAGACGCTTAACGGACTCAGCCACCCAAGGGTCCCAAAATGACATTGCATCCAGGGAAGAGGTACCCCCAGCAGATTCCCAGTTGGGAGTGGATCATCAAAATCACTCAGAGGCTTTTCAAATACTACATTCCCCCCGCCCATTCCAAGTAAAATCAATGTTCCTTTGCTATAATGAGCCACTTTCGTCTCCGAGATAGGAAGATTGGGAAGGCTCAGGATAAAGTCTGTCTACACTGCTGATACATTATTTTCTATTTTAAAGATCTAAGAGAGTCCTTGCGCACATGAGTGGCGGGGAGAGGCAGAGTTAGAGGGAGAAGCAGACTCCCCGGTCAGCACTGAGTCCACCTTAGGGCTCAATCCCAGGACCCTGAGATCATGACCTAAGCCAAAGACAGACACTTAACAAACTGAGCTACCCAGGTGCCCCCATCATTTTATTACTGATGCCTAATTAATGCACCATACCATTCACTCATTTAAAATGTACAATTCAGGGGCGCCTGGGGGGGCTCAGTCGTTAAGCATCCACCTTCGGCTCGGGTCATGGGATCCAGCCCCACATCAGGCTCCCTGCTGGGCCAGAAGCCTGCTTCTCCCTCTCCCACTCCCCTTGCTTGTGTTCCTTCTCGCTGTGTCTCTCTCTGTCAAATAAATGAAATATTTTTAAAAATAAAGGAAATAAATGAAATGTACAATTCAGGGGTGCCTCAGAGGCACGGTCCATTAAGCATCCAACTCTTGGTTTCGGCTCAGGTCATGATCTCAAGGTCATGGGACAGAGCCCTGCATCAGGTTCCAAGCTCATTGCTGAGTCTGCTTTAGATTCTCTGTCCCCCCAGCTTTTGCTCCCTCTAAAATAAATAAATCTTAAAAAAAAAAAAAGTACAATTCAATAGTTCTTAGTATATTCAGGGCTGTAGGTGATCTTCATGCCTTTTCTTTTTTTTCCACTTAGCATGTGTCCTAAGTTCATTCACCTGCAGCCTGAGCAGGACGTCATTTCTTCACACGGCTGACTACTACTCCCTGGTTTGGATGACGCCTTGCTTTCATGTGTTCTGTGTACTGAGAGAGGCTCTGCTCCTTAACATGCTACACATGGGGCTCAAACTTACAACCCTGAGGTCACTCACGACCCTAAGGTCCAAGGTTGTGTGCTGTCCTGAGGCAGACAGACACCCCAATATAATTATTTTTTTTTAAAGATTTTATTTTTATTTATTTACTTGACAGAGATCACAAGTAGGCAGAGAGGCAGGCAGAGAGAGAGAGAGAGAGAGAGAGAGAGGAGGAAGCAGGCTCCCTGCAGAGCAGAGAGCCCGATGCGGGACTCGATCCCAGGACCCTGAGATCATGACCTGAGCTGAAGGCAGAGGCCCAACCCACTGAGCCACCCAGGCTCCCAATATAATTATTTTTAAATGTTAAAAAAAATGCTTCTTCAAAGTCCTACACTATTTTTAATTTTATTTTTATTTTTAAGATGTTATTTATTTATTTGACTGAGAGAGAGAAAGCATGACCAGGAGGCAGAGGAAGAAGCAGGCTCCCTACTGAGCAAGGACCCCCCCCCCCATGTGGGCTCAAACCCAGGACCCTGGGGTCATGACCTGAGCCAAAGGCAGATGCTTAACCCATTAGGCCACCCAGGTGCCCCACATGCACTTAATTTTATTTTTTTTTAATTTTTTTCAAAAGATTTTTATTTGGGACACCTGGGTGGCTCAGCGGGTTAGGCGGCTGCCTTTGGCTCAGGTCATGATCCCAGGGTCCTGGGATCGAGCCCCGCATCGGGCTCCCTGTCCCTCTGCCCCTCCTCCAGCTTGTGCTCTCTTGCTTGCTCACTTTCAACTAAAATCTTTAAAAAAAAAAAAAAAAAAAATTATTTGAGAGAGAGAGCGCGCGCGCAAAAGCAGGGAGGAGAGGCAGGCTCTGCGCAGAGCAGGGAGCCCAACATGGGACTCATCCCAGGCCCTGGACCATGACCCCAGACGGCAGACGCTTAACCAGCCGAGCCACCTAGGCGCCCCAATATTCTTGATTGTAAAGCAAGCTGGAATATCTTAAAACCAAAATCTGAGCGACATTTGGTATGGACGCCTCAAACCGACATGACATTAGTCACAGTGGTGCGCAGACTAAGAGGTCACGCTCCAGCCGCCCCGACCTTCGGCGAACCAGCGGGTGACGCGGAGCGCAAAGCCGGGCTCGCGCCCCGGGAGGCGGTCACGCGCCCGCCCCAGCCCGGTCCTCACCCACGTCCATCCACTCGGGCGGCAGCAGCCGACACTTCTGCCTCTGCTTCAGGTTGATGGCCAGCCACAGCGGCACTCGCACCGGTAAGCCCGGCTGGAAAGGCCCCAGGTCCCCCTGCGGAAGGGAAACCCCGTCCGGGTGAGACCGCACGCGACCAGACGCCCTGCGGGCCCCGCGGCCGTCCCACCGGGGGCAGGCGCTGCGCGAGCTGGACCCGAGGGAAAACAAAGTCCAGCCGCGGGCGCAGGCCCAGGGAGGCCGCCCCGAGCCCGCGGTCCCGACCCGAGCCGGCCTCACCGCACACCTGGCCGGCCCACCTGAGCCCTGTTTCCCGCCCCGAGAACCGCCGAGACGCCGGCCACCCGGTCCACCCCGCGTCCGCCCCCCCCGCCCCCTCGGCGTCTCCACCCCCGGTTCTCACCCAGCCCCCACCCCGTGCTCCGCGACCGCCCTGACCCCCCCGTACGCCCCCACTCGGGGTTGCCCCCCAGCCCTCCCGCGACCGCTCTGCCTCCCCCGTCAGGGACTCCCCCGACCCCTCGACGGGTCAGAGGCCGGGCTGGGGTCCGCGGACGCCCCCCGCCCCACGACCGCCTCCCCGCGCGCGGCCGCCGGAGGCAAATGGCCGGCCCCTGCCCTCACCCCGATGAGGTAGATCTTGTCTAGGCTGAAGTTGGGGATTACGGTGACCAGCTCCTTCTCGGCCAGAAACTCCACCTCCGCCGCGTCCATGCCGGCCACAGCGACCCGCCCGGGACCCGTCGCCGCCGGCGGCCCCTCGCTAGCCCCGGCGTGAGGGTCCGCCCCGCCGCCGCAACTTTCCCGCCAACGTGCCGGCCCGCCCCCGCCAGGCGGAAGAAGCCTATCAGCCAGCCAATAGCAACGCGACGCTCTCCCCGTGGCGGCGGGAGGCGGGGACCATGGCCTCTTCAAGCGCACGGATTGGCGAACGTCAACGAGGCCGAGCAGACCACGCCCCATAGCGTCGGCGCTCGGTCCTCCTCTCGACAGGCCCGGGCCCCGCCCCTCCCGCGGCCGGGCCCCGCCCCCGCTGCGCTCCTCTGGTGAGCGGGACACCGCGCCCTGCACCTGGCGCTGTCGGCCCGGCTGGCCCTGTCTCCACCCTTGCGTGTCCCTTCGCCAGTCCCCGGCGCCTACACGGAATCAGGGTGGGGGTGCAGTCCGGGGCACGTGGGCACTGGGTCCCGCACCGGGCCACGAGTCAATGCATTTATGATTAGGTCAGGGCCGCGGAGGCCTCGCTTGCCTTAACCTCGCCATCTTCTGCGCCTCGGTACACCCGGCTGGAGTCTGTAAAGAGACCCCCCCGCCCCACGCACACCTTCGGATTCAAACCCCGAGTGTGTGGTTTGGCCGGCCCCGCAGCTGGCTCGGGAAGGGGCAGGTTCGCAGAGCTGCCGCGCCAGCTGATGCGCGGCTCTGTCTGCCCCGCCACTCCGGGGGGCTCACGCCCTCTCCTGGGTCGGAGCCCCCAGCGGGCTGTGGGCGTTGACATGCATACCCCCGGGTGGCTCAGGGGGTTAAGCCTCTACCTTTGAGTCAGGTCATTGTCTCAGGGTCCTGGGATCGATTCCCACATCATCGGGCCCCCTGCTCAGCATGGAGCCTGCTTCTCCCTCTGCCCGGCCACCCACTTGGGCGCTCTCTCTCTCTCTTTCTCTCTCTCAAATAAACAAAAATTTTTAAAAAGAGAAAAGGGTGCCTGGGTGGCTCAGTGGGTTAAGCCGCTGCCTTCGGCTCAGGTCATGATCTCAGAGTCCTGGGATCGAGTCCCACATCGGGCTCTCTGCTCAGCAGGGAGCCTGCTTCCCTCTCTCTCTGCCTGCCTCTCTGCCTACTTGTGATCTCTCTCTGTAAAATAAATAAATAAAATCTTTAAAAAATAAAAAAGAGAAGAAAGAAACGTGCACACTTCTGGAGATTCTAAGTCAGGGGTCTGGGGCGAGGACAGAAAACAGAATTTTAACCAGGGCCAGAAGGCTTCCTGGGCGGGAAGCCGCTAGGGCAGGCTGTTAGGGACAGGCAGTGGCTGAATTTGAACACTTCATCATTCTGTCCTGTGAAAACAACAGGAGACGGAGGATTCCAGGGTTCTGAATCCCCACAGGAAAGCTGGCCCACCCCAGATCACCCCATGCATCCTCCCTAAGCCCCCAGAAACCTGCCCCCCTGTAAGGCTGTTGGAGAGATGAAATAAAGCCATAATTAAGTTCTGCCCACTCACATGGCCTAGAAAGGCGATGTCTGCTATTTATCTGAACTGGAAATCACCTTCATTGTGTTCCATTTATGAAGACTAATACAAAGCCTCACCAGCCCGGTGCGTGGAGCCGGTGGCTGTTTTAAGTCCTCTCTCCACCCAACATGGGTCTCAAACTCATGGCTCCCAGATCAGGAGTCATGTGTTCTACCAACTGAGCCATCTGGGCGCCCCAGAGCAAACTGCTCTTGGTCTTGGGATCCTGAGTTCAAGCCCTTCATTGAGTGTGGAGATCATGTGAGGAAAACAGAAAAGGAAAAGAAAGAAAAGGTCCGTCTGGATGCGGTGTGACGGAGGGCCAGTGATGACTTTGAACGTTGGTTTCCTCATCAGCAGACGAGGTAGGAATGAGAAGGAGCCTGGGTTGTCTGGGGAGGGGGAGACGCTGCAAGCCTGGTGTCCCCTAAAATAGAAGCTCCCTCCGGCATCTGTAGACCACGTGTGCCAGCTCGTCTGGGTTTTGACTGATAGCGGAATGTTTTCGTGACTGGCAAATATTTGTGTTCCCGAATTGGCAAGGCTTGCCTCCCTGCCTTCCATAGCCTGGAAGAGAGCAAACGAAAAGAGCTAGTAGGAAAGCCCGGGTTCCGAGAGGCCATGCGTGGTGGGATGAGTAGGAGAACTAGCCCAGCCCAGTGTCACATTACCCGAGTGTCCTTGTCCCTGTCTGTGAAGTGGGGGCAGCGTGGCTGCTTGCCTCTGTGGGCTGTTGAGAGAGCAAGACGTGTGCAGTGTTGCACACTGCAACAAGACGGTGCCTTGGAGCCCCAAACGAGAGCAAATGTCAGGGGGACCTGGAGGCTCGTTAAATGTCTTTCCATTCCCTGAGGTGTCACTCACAATAGCTGAAGGGCGCAAACCACTCAAATGTCCCTCCGTTGTGGGACAGATAAACAAAATGCCGTCTCCACACAGTGCGTAATATACCCCACCACAAATGGGGACGAAGCGCGGATTCATGCTACAGTGTGGATGGGTCAGAAAACATGACGCTACGTGGAAGAAGCCAGTCACAGAAGACCACATATGACAAGTCCATTTATATGAACGATCTAGAAACTAGATGAGATGTAGAGATAGAAACTAGATTCCTGGGGCACCTGGGTGGCTCAGTGGGTTAAGCCTCTGTCTTCCGCTCAGGTCATCTCAGGGTCCTGGGATCGAGGCCCGCATCGGGGCACCTCTGCTCAGCGGGGAGCCTGCTTCCTCCTCTCTCTCTGCCTGCCTCTCTGCCTACTTGTGATCTCTCTCTCTCTCTGTCAAATAATAAATAAAATATTTAGAAAAGAAAAAAACAAACAAACAAACTAGATTCCTGGTTGCCCGGGCCGGGGAGAGGGGAGTAGTTGTTCAGGGGTATGGGGTTTCTTTTAGAGGTGATGGAAATGTTTTGGAACTAGAGAATGCTGGTGTTGCACAGCTCTGTACATATACTAAAAAACACTGACTTGTAGACCTTAAAAGGGTGAGTTTGTGAATTATTCCCCAATAAAGCTATTATGTAAAATGCCCTTCCCTAAGCTCCAGATTTAGATTTTCTGACTCAGTGACCACACACATGTAACTGGCTCCCAGGAGGATTTTATAATTGGGAAAATTGGGGATTGAAGGGATTTGCCCCAATCCGGTCCAGCGGTGAGCCACACTTGAGATCCAGAGAAGACTTCCACATGCCCACCCTCACGCCTGGTCTCCAGAGGTCAGGGAGGCAGGACCCAGGTGAGGGGACATGAAGGGCACAGGACCAGCCCAGAGGGGTGTGGTGGAGGCGAGCTGTTGTTTCAGACGAGGTGGTCAGAGCACTCACACCACTGTCCCCCGTTGTAAGAAACGCCTCCCCTAGAAGATGGGAATGACCCACGCGGTGATGAATTAAGACCTGGAGACGAAGTAAGTGGGGATGAAGGGACAACCTCACTGTGCAGAAGATTTACAAACGACGCGTATAGAGACTCTGACCTCAAAAGGTGACCCAGTCAGAGGCACGTGCAGTTCTTGATGTTGGGGTCCTGAGTTTGAGCCCCATGTTGGGGGTAGAGTTGACTTAAAAAAAATAGTGACCCTGGGGCTGCCTGGGTGGCTCAGAGAATAAGTGTCTGCTTGGGGCTCAGGTCATGATCCCGGGGTCCTGGGATTGAGCCCTATGTCAGGTTCTGCACTCTGCGGGGAGTCTGATTCTCCCTCTGCCTGCTGCTCCCCCTGCTCTCTCTCTCTCTCTCTCTCTCTGTCAAATAAATAAAATCTTTTTTTAAGATATATTTTTTTTAATTTTTAAAGATTTTTTATTTATTGATTTGACAGACAGAGATCACAAGTAGGCAGAGAGGCAGGCAGAGAGAGAGGAGGAAGCAGGCTCCCTGCTGAGCAGAGAGCCCGATGCGGGGCTCGATCCCAGGACCTTGGGATCATGACCTGAGCCGAAGGCAGAGGCTTTAACCCACTGAGCTACCCAGGCGCCCAATAAATAAAATCTTCAAAATAAATAAATGAAAATGAAGAAGAATGTGGCATGTAACTCCCTACTTCTGAAGGATGGGCTGCCCTTAGCCACTTCGTTCCGAAGAGGACAGGTCGGGAATGGAGAAAAACAGAGTAACTTGACAGTGGAGAGACCTGACCAACACGACCTTGGGCAGGTGGCCAAGGTTATTTACCACCAGCAGCAACAAGTCAAGGTGAGGGCATGCACCCCCGACAAAATGGAGGAGAAGGGCTCTTGACCTCCTGAGCCTTCCTCCCAGAATCCACAGTCCCAGTCCTGTCCTGAGGAGCGCATCAGACCGTGCCAGCAGAAGGACATTCTGCCAAGCGCCTGGCCAGCGTGTCTCAAAACTGTCGAAGTCGTCAAAAACAGAGTCTGAAACACTACCAAAGCCCGGCGAAGCCCGAGACATGAGGCCTGAGTGTATGTGCGATCTGGGAACAGAAAAAGGACATGAGGGAAAGCCTGAGGAAACATGAATGAGGAATGGACTTTAGGTAATCATAGTACACAAAGGGGGCGCCTGGGGGACCCCGTCCATTAGGCGTCTGCCTCGGTTTAGCTCATAATCCCGGGGTCCTGGGACCAACCCCTGCGTTGGACTCCCTGCTCAGTGGAGAGCCTGCTTCTCCCTCTCCCTCTACCCCTTGCCCCTCACTGGGTCATGTTCTCTCACTCTCTCTGTCAAATAAATAAAATTATAAATAAAAAGGATTCTCTCTGCCTCTCCCTCTGCCCCTCCCCCACTCGCACACGTGCTGATGCTCTCCCTCCCTTGCTTTCTCAAATAAGTAAGTAAATAAATAAATAAAGTCCTTATTAAAAAATTAAAAACAGGAGCGCCTGGGTGGCTCAGTCGGTTAAACATCTGCCTTCAGGGGCGCCTGGGTGGCTCAGTGGGTTAAGCCACTGCCTTCGGCTCAGGTCATGATCTCAGGGTCCTGGGATCGAGTCCCGCATCGGGCTCTCTGCTCAGCAGGGAGCCTGCTTCCCTTCCTCTCTCTCTGCCTGCCTCTCTGCCTACTTGTGATCTCTCTCTGTCAAATAAATAAATAAAATCTTAAAAAAAAAAAAAATCTGCCTTCAGCTCAGGTCATGATCCCGGAGTCCCGGGATCAAGCCCTGCATCGGGCTCCCTGCTCAGCGGGGAGCGGGCTTCTCCCTTTCCTGCTGCCTGTCTCTCTGCCTACTTGTGCTTGTGCTCTCTCTCTCTGTCAAATAAATAAATAAAATCTTAAAAAAAAATAAAAAATAGATGGGTGCCTGGCTGGTTCATTTGGGAGAACGTGTGACTCTTGATCTCAGGGCTGTGAGCTCAAGTCCTGCACTGGGTGTAAGAGATTACTTAAATAAATCAATTAATTAAAAAAATTTTTTTAAATAGAACTACCATATGATCTAGCAATGACACTACGATTTACCCAAAGAATACAAAAACACCAATTGGAAGGGATGTATTTACAACAGCATCGTGCTCAATAGCCAAGCTGTGGAAGCCAACCACGTGTCCACAAGACTAATGGGCGGATGAGGAGGCGGTGGCGTGTACACACAACGGAACACTCCTCGGCCGTGCAAAGAATGAAATCTTGCCATTTGCGGCGACACGGATGGAGCTAGAGAGTATACCGCGAAGTGAAATAAGTCAGAGAAAAGCGAATACCGGCGATTTCACTCGTACGTATAATCTAAGAAACAGAACAAATGAGCAAAGGGGAAAAGAGAGAGAAAAACCAAGAAACAGACTCTTAACTCTGGAGAACACACGGCCGGGGAGGAGGGTGGGGATGGGTAGCATGGGTGATGGGGACAACGGGGTGCCCTTGTCTAGAGAGGAGGACAGAGTGATGGGCGGAAGTGTTGAATGGCTGTGTCGTGCACCTGAAACTAACACCGCAATGTCTGTTAACTGGACAGGAAAGGGTCCTGCACCTGGGGCACCTGGGGGCGTCAGCTGGCTGGGCACCTGCCTTCGGCTCGGGTCATGATCCCGGCGTCCTGGGATGGAGACCCACGTGGGGCTCGCTGCTCGGCGGGGAGCCTGCCTCTCCCTCTCCCTCTACCATTCTCCTCCTTGTGCTCTCTGGTTCTCTCTATAGCTCTGTCAAATAAATAAATAAATAAATAAATAAAATCTTAAAAAAAAAAAAGAGTCTTGTGCCTAAAAAAATAATAGTGTATCAAAATCAGTTCATTAATTTTGACAAATAGACCAGAGGAAGGTAAGGTTAAGGGCAGGGGAACCTGGGTGGGCACTGTATGGGAACCCTCTGTATTATTATTTTTTTATTATAAGATTCTTTTTTTTTAAAGATTTTATTTATTTATTTGATAGAGACACACCAAGAGAGGGAGCACAAGGAGGGGGAGTGGGAGAGGGAGAAGCAGACTTCCCGCTGAGCAGGGAGCCTGATGCGGGGCTCCATCCCAGGACCCTGGGATCATGACCTGAGCTGAAGGCAGACGCCTAACGACTGAGCCACGCAGGCGCCCCTCTCTGTACTATTTTTGCAACTTTTCTATAAATCTAAAGCTATTCTTTTTAACATTTTTTTTAAATTTTATTTTTTTGAGAGAGAGAGAGAGAGCATGCACATGAGTGGGGGGAGGGGCAGAGGGAGAGGGACCGGCAGACTCAGCGCTGACAGGAGCCCGACATGGTGTTCCATCCCAGCACCCCGAGATCGTGACCTGAGCTGAAGTCAGATGCATAACTGACTGAGCCACACAGGCACCTCAAATTTAAAGCTATTCTGGGGAAAGGGGCACCTGGGTGGCTGGATGGGTTAAGGCCTCTGCCTTCAGCTCAGGTCATGGTCTCGGGGTCCTGGGATTGAGCCCCGCATTGGGCTCTCTGCTCGGCAGGGAGCCTGCTTCCCCCTCTCTCTATGCCTGCCTCTCTGCCTACTTCTGATCTCCGCCTGTCAAATAAATAAATTTAAAAAAAAAAAAACTATTCTGGAGGGAAAAAAAGGTCTGTTAAAAAAAAGTCTTGGGGTGCCTGGCTGGCTCTGTTGGTGGAACATGTGACTCTTGATCTCGGGATCATGAATTCGAGCCCCACGTTGGGTGTAGAGATTACTTAAAAGAAAAATCTCTCCTCCAGGTTCCCGCAGGCCCCCACGCACTCCCACGGTTGAACCTACCGCCCCCTTCAGGACAGCCGTCACTGCGGTACTTTTGGTCACAGCAGCATTTAGGCGGGGTGGAAAGAGCACCTTGGCCTTCAGATCTTAAAGCCGCAATGACAGAGGTCAATGACAGACCTTTCTGCAATGCCAGAAGTGTCCTACCGCCACCCCGTCCAGTGGGAGGGCCACTTAGCCCCGTGTGGAAACAGCATTTGAGGTGTCAGCCACTGCGTCGGGTCTGGGGTCCTGGGGCTTGGGCTGAGCACGTTGGGGCAGGACCTGGGGTCCAATCCGCAGAGTGTGTTCATTCCGCCGTTGATTAGTTGACCTCCCAGTCTGCATCCCGGCCACGGGAGCCATGTCCTCATGCGCCAGCGGTCACTCCAGCCCACTGGGCCCCGCTGCTTGGGACGGCGGACCAGGGACGTCTCCTCTCTGGCGGCGGCCCACGACGAGGTGGGGTTCTCCCTGCAGAATGCGCTGGGCAAGCAAGGCGGGAAGGACCGGAGGGGGGTCAGCTCTCCGGGGTCAGAACAGGATCGTGAGCTCCACGGGAGGTCCTCTGGGGGATGCTGGTCAGGTCAGGGAGTGACAAGAATAGACTCACGTTCTAGGTACAAGAACTCTGGTGGCCGCGGTGGGCGTGGGCTGTGGTCCAGCAGTACCAGGCTGTGAGCAGAAGCCCAGGTGAGCCTTGGCCATGGCCTGGCCTCGGGCAGCCCCCGGGGTCCCGGAGTAGAGACTGTGTGAAACCAGAGCCCATAAACGTCCTCCACGGCCCATAAAAGCCCGGCAGCCCCCAGGTGGCCAAGGGAGTTCCCCATCCACCTGCGGCTCCTGGCGGCCGCCCCTCCCGCGGGCCTGTGCGACCCTCCCCGCAGCTCACAGGGCTCCAGGGTTGGGTGAGGGGAGCCCTCCCGCCAGCTACCCACGCACGCCTCCGCGGAGCCGGGCGGGCGATCTCAAATGGGTCTGACATGGTGGGAATACACTCTTGTGTCTTTTTGCCATCTGCTGCTGTCATTAAAACATTACATTTCCATCTGCTTTCACACTTTTCTCCCCTCCCAGCCTCCCCTGCTGGAGGCACACAGCACGACTCCCTGGTCTTGTGGGCCGGAACATTCCAGTGCCTCCTGGAACCTGGGAGCTTCTCCGGGACACGCCAGGACTGGGGCAAACCGGCCTTCTCAGGGGTCAGACCTGCTGAGGTCGGTCTACTCCCGCGTCGCCAGTCACCAGCAGCTCCGAGCCACACTTGGCGGGGAAGGGGGGGGGGCACTCACAACGCGCTTTTGTGGTTGCCTTTAATCGTATGCGCGACTTCGGCATTAAGAGTAAATGGAAAATACAGTGCAGACCTCTGTGTCCGTTTCTCCCAGGGTGTATTCAAGGAAGAGCGGACTGAAGAAGGGGGCGTCAGGGAGCTGTGCTTTGGGCTCATAAGTCATCATTCCAGACCAGCCCTGAAGAGGCACCCACCCTACCCCCACCCCTATATAAGCACCCTCTCCCCCCCCAGACCTTTCATTGAAAAAGGAATTCGGCGGCCTCCATCCTGGCCGCAGACTTTTATTTTTTAAGTTTTTATTTTTAAGTAATGTCCACACTGAACGTGGGGCCTGAACCCATAGCTCCAAGGTCGGGAATTGCTGCTCCAGCGACTGAGTCAGCCGGGGTCCCGGACCTCTGGCGTGTTAGTCTGGGTTCTCCTCTCCAGCTCGTCTCTGGGCTCCGCTGGGAGACCCTGCCGGCACAGCATCCCGTGATGGGAGCAGACGCTCCCCCGTCAAGCGATAAGGCCCGCCCTCCGCCTGCGAGGTCTCTCGTGATTGACCCGAGACCACAATGCATTTGACCTTCACTGCAGGCCAGCACGCATCCACCGACCTTTGCCCCATGTTTTCCTTAGATAAACTGGAAGTATTTTCGGCACTTTGGAGACAGCCTTCGAGCTGCTAGTCCCCTGTCTTCTGGGTGTTGGCCTCACTGAAATAAATTCCTTTCTTGTTTTCCTACCACGGCGGGCGGGTTTTGTCAGCGGCGAGTGGCCGGCGAGGTCTGCCCGGGAGCCGGGACCAGACGCTCTTGCTTCCCCGCGCCCCGGGCTACGTCGTGAAGGGTCAAGCCCACGCAGGTGGTTGTGACCGCATGGGGGGGCCTGCTGGGTCTTCTCCGACGCGGCTGTGCTAACGTCCCCGCGAACATTCTGGAGGACTCTGGGTCCCATGCCACATGTTAGTCTGGGTTTGGCGTGTTCCCTCGTTTAATCTTCCCCCAAAGCCTAGTTATCATCCCCACTTGGAGATCAAGGAAACTGAGACTCAGGGACGCAGAGCACCTGTTCGAGGCCCCCGGCTGATAAACAGGGCACAGGGACTGACCGGGCTCAGGCTGGGAAGCAGGAATCCACCGTCAGTCCCAGACTCCGCCCCAGACTTCCGAAAACATCATCTGCCTGTGAACCAGATGCCCACCGGGGAGCAGCTTTAGGCGTGAGAAGCACTAGTGTAGTCCGGAACATTCCTCAGAGTGCATGGCACTAGGGGGCGGTAGGGGGTGCTCATCCATCCAAAGGGGGGTACCCTGGTAGGGCGAGCTGGCCTTGAGAGTCCTCTGCCCGCCTGCTCCCACTCCCAAGAAAGCCCCAGTTGCTTGTTCTGGAATGCTGGGCTCCCTAGCTCCCCCGCGCATATCCCTGGTGGATGGCTCTGGATACCTCACTCTCACCACCCACCCCACGTTCATACCTTCGGTGTCAACGTAATCCTCAGGTCCCCGCACATTGTCTCCACTCCCCAGCTGAGAACGGAGGCCCAGAGGGGTTGGTGACCAGCCTGATTGGAATGACTACCACGGACTGGCTGTCTGATCCCTGCCAGGTACCAAGGAGGGATTTTACGGAGACTGTTTTACTGAATCCTCATCTCCCCATCTTATCCGCACTTTGCAGGTGAAAAGAAGGTTCAGAGAGGTTGAGTGACTTTCCGAAGTCACACAGTACAAGTGGGTCTTGCTGACCCCAAAGCCCTTGCTCATACCCACTCCCCCCTTCTTTCTGACATCTCCTATGGGGGATGCTACAGCCACAGTGGGGGCCTGCTGCCTTCGTGCAAGCCCTCCCAGGGCAAGAGCATGCACTGAGCAAGCCCCCTCTGCCTCGGCCCTCCCTTGTGGGGACACAGAGCACACTTGAAGGCAGAGGCTTAGGGATGGGTGCTGGGCCGTGTCATGGTGTTTGCTGCAGCTTGGGGATGCAGATGTCCCCAGGAAAGGTCTCTCTCCTGTTACTAAGGAGCTTCACCGAGGATGGAGGTCCTAGCTACAAGAAGCACAAAGCCAGGGACTGGCACGGACACCTTGGGCGCCGTGAGAGCAAGGAACCTCACTCTGCCCTGCGAGAAAGCCGGAGCCAGCTTCCTGGGACTGGGCAGCCTCTGACCAAGCCCCTCCTGCCTGGGCTCCAGCTCACAGCCCTCTTGCCGTTGCCATGGGCACTAAAAGCCTGGGATGAAGCCGGGATTAGCCACAGCAGGCTGCTGAGTGGGCTGGAGGCCTCCGAGCTGTGCCGGGGGGAGCTGTGGGGCTCCTGCCGCGCCCAGGCTTGTGGACCTAGTCGGTCTTCAGGGTTCATGCCCAGCCCCAGCCCTGAGGCCCAGCAACCCCCTGGTGCCCAAAGCGGGGGACTAGGGCCCCACATGATAAGCAGGAGCTGTGAATACACTCGTGTGGACAGCACCCTCATGGACAGTACCCTGGGGAGGGGCTGGCCACAACAGGAGACACACGAAGCCGCTGTGAACCCAGCTCCTCGCGGCCACCCACCCAAACACCAGCAAGCGGGACATCGATGTTCGCTAACCTAAGCCGAGTTTGGGGAGCATGTGTCACTGAGTCTCTCTGGGTTGCTACAAATGTTCTTTCTCATGTTTCCGGAGGTTGGGAAGTCTGGATCGAGGCACGAGTACTCCAGCGTCTGGTGACAGCCTTCTTCCCGGGACGCAGCTGGCCATGACCTCTCATGGTGGGATGTCTCGGAGGTCTCTCTTGTAAGGGCACCACTCCATTCCTGAGGGCTGCAGCCGCATGGCCTGGTTACCTCCCCGCTCCCCCCGCCCATCACACTGGGGACTAGGTCTCAACATGCCAGTGTGGGGGGTGGGTACACATTCAGCCTCGAGTGGGGCTTGTTTGTTACACAGCAATGTCAAAGCAAAAAAGCATGTTGACTAATATCTCTAGGAGTTTCCTCTAAGAGACTCCTATGAGTTCGATGTGCTCAGAGCAGTGCGAAGTCACAGAAACCTCGTGCACCTGTCGTGGGTGAGCTCTGGGAACACGCGGGCAATGCGACGGTGTCACTGCCTTCTGGAATCTTGTCTTTGCTTTTTAAAAGATTTTATGTATTTATTTATTTAGAGGGAGCAGGCACTGGGGGAGGCAGGGGGGAGAGGGAGCGAGCAGACCCCCCAGAGAGTTTTGGCCTTTGCTCTGGGCTCCTCCTAGGTGACCTCAAGGCTCTAGGAATGTCCTGCCTGATAAGACTATCTTTGTTTACCTGAAGCCTCTGCCTCACAGAACAGGCTGACGGTGTGATTTACAGAGGGGCTGGGGACTGAGGTCACCGTGTGGGCAGCCAGCCATGTCTACGTGGCCAACCCCCAGGGAAAACCACGGACCCCCCCCTCCCCACCCTCAAGGCACTGCCCTGGCTGGCGCTGCCCCGAGCGTGCGTCATCCCGGAGGCTGGAAAGCCAAACGCTGCCTGTGAGACGTCCCCGTGTGCTCTCTCCTGGGCCCTACCCTTGTCGTCTCTGCCCTTTGAGGATTGTCGTCTACATTCTTTCGCTGTAGGAAACCATAAACACAGCAGCCCGAGTGGCTTTTCTGAGTCCTGAGTCCCTCTGGTGAATTCCTGAACCCAAGAGTGGACCTGGGGTCCCTCCTGAACCGTAGGTCCCTCCCCGCTCCCTGTGTGGCCCCAGATCACCTTCCAGATAAAGTCTTTCCCCACAAGCCTTTGCTCCAGGGTCTGCTGCTTTGGGAAAGGGACAACTCAGGGGGAGCCACACAGCCTCTGAGGGAAGCCAGACACAGGGGCCACCGTCAGAACTGTCTAGAAGGGGAACGGGACACCAACGATTTCATGTTCTTGACAAAACTGAACCCAGACCCCCTGCCTCCCCGTCCTAGAGATGTATCATGACTAGGATCCCACAGCTGGCGAGGACGGAACTGGGACTCGAGCCCACGTGACTTCAGAATCCACGCCTTGGACCACAGGCTTCTGTGGCCATGTGCGAATCAGGGGCGGGAGTGGGGGGGACACGACTATCCGAAGCCCCCCCCCACGGCCAGCCCCACCCCTCCCTCTGCAGGAAGCTATTCTCTTCACCTCTGCACCTGTGTGCGCTCCATCGCCGCTGCCGGGCCCAAGAAGTGGGGTTCACTGATGGTGACAGACGACCTTTATTTGTAACGCAAAAAAGGAATTACGAATCACCTTCTGTGCTGCTTGGAAGTCTGTGAAACAATGTGTAAAAAATGGAGCGGCCGCTCGGCAAGTTCTTGTGTGTGTTGGCCTTGAGCGCACCCGTTGGTGTGGCCCAGGGCTCAGGGAGGGGACTCTGTCCAGAAGAAAGCCTCTCCCCGGCCCCCGGGGCAGCCGCTGCCATGACCTCACGGCGTGAAGGGTCTGGTCTGGTCTGCTCAGCGGGGCCTGGGAAACATGGCCCTGGGGCCAGCGGATTCCGTGCTCTATTTGCCACCTCGCAACCGGTCGGGCTCCTGAATCCCTCATTCTCCCATCCAGTGTCCGGCGGGCTCGGCGCATCTGTCCCAGGCAGCCACAGCCCCAGGGACATGTGGATTGGGGCGGCTGGAGTGGGGCGTGAGGACACTCTCCGGCCTGTGCCTCCTCCTCAGGCCTCGGGGTCTATCTCTCCATCCTCTGGGCACGACCCCGTCTCCTCCAGCCATACTAGGAGGAAAAGGAGGAATCAGCATCTGGGTGGGCACCCACCGCCTCCGGCTCCCTTCCCCACAGAGCTCCAGGGCTAGAGCCTCTGGGCTCCCCGCTTTGTCCCCCACCTCGAGCTCCCCACACATACAGGCAGGTAAGGATGCCGACGCCGTGACACTGGCTCTCGTGGGTCCTCCCCACGCACCCTCAGCCCACACCCAACGCAGAGCTCGCCTGCGGCCTTGGCCGACGTTCCTCGGATTGTACCCCTGGGCCCCGTCCCTTGCTTAGCATCTCCTAGGAGGGAGGCCGGGGCTGCACCGGAGGTCCATACCTCGATGCCCCTGTCCTAGAGATGGGAAGGTGAGGCCCAGCAGTGGGTGCGGAGACCTGCTCCAAGCTGGGCAGGGAGGTCCAGGTCTCTGACAATCCCTTGGAGCCAGGAGCACTGGATAAGGTATCACCCAGGTCTGGTGGTTTCCTCCTGCCCTAAATGCCACTGGTGACAACATGAACAACATAGCCTCTGTGCAGAGCATGACATCAGACCCTGTCTGTCCTGTCCCCAGTCCCCCCAACCTGTCAGAGGCACAATTTTACAGATGGGAAAATCGAGCCTCAGGGACGTAGTACCTCTTGCTCAGTGTCACTAGGTGCTAAGTCATAGAGCAGGGATCAAAGTGAGGGCTTCTGACCCCGAGGTCTGCGCCCTTTATCCCATGCCTCCGTTCTCTGAAAGGGGAAAGGCAGAGGGATGAGGCCTGGCCAGGTAGGACTGGAGGGTACGGCCCTACAGGCTCTTTGCGCTGACCCAGCCCTGGAGCTACTTGCACTCAAAGGGGCCTTCTGGGGTTTTGGAATTCCTCTGAGCTCAGGGACTCTGACCTAGTAAAGTAACCCTAAGTCTCCCCACATTCACCTTGGCCCTGGTGCAAGGAAGGTAGTTATGACCCCATTTTACAGATGGGGACACCAAGGCTGGCAGGGCAGGGAGCCTAATGGCAGAGCAAAGGGCCTGAGTCTCTGCTGTCTGCGCTGAGCTCTCTAGCTGGACACGGGAACAAGAGACCAGCTCTTCTCCCACCTTGCTGTGTGCCCCTGAGTGAGTCACTGTCCCTCTCTGGACCTCAGGGTTCCCATCTATAAACTAGAGAAAAGGGCGTTACTCACAGCCCTCAGTGTTGGCAGGACAACAAACATTGTGAGAAGTCTTCAGCCTGGTACCTGGCACTTGGGAAGGTGACACAGGAAGGTGACCCACGGTGAGTCATTACTGAGAATGGCCCAGCACCAGTCCCTGCATAGGGCCCAGCCCCGAGGGGGTCCAGTGGCTTCTCCCCAATCACCTGCCCTGGTAGAGCAGGTCAGGACTTATAGAAGAGTCTACCCCACCCCTGGCTGGTTGTTGACTGATGCTGGCCACTGGGAGGGCGCCAGGAGGATGCCACAGGGCGAGCGCCAGATCACATGGCCGGCCCTGACTCCCAACCCTGCCACTGACCAGCTATATGGCGAGTGTCTCGACCTCTCTGAACCTCACTCTGCCCGCCTGTAAAACGGCGATGTAAACGGGACCTAGCCCGGAGTTACCCTGAGAACTCAATGAGAAACCGCCCGCCGCTAACATCAGTACTTTTCACTCCTCACAGCGGCAGCCTCAGCACTGAGCACAGGCGTGGCCCCATCAATCTCTCTGATGAACAAACAAGTCACCCCACTGGCTCCAACAGCATCCACAGTGTCCCCAGGCCGGGGCCCGGGGCTGCACCTCTCTCTGGGAACCAGTCTGTCTCCTGCCCACTCCCCGCAGTGAGCAGCATCTCGAAGGCCGGGGAGCAGCTGGGCCCGGACATGGTGTGTTTCTGAGCTATCCTGTCCAGCTGAGCTGCTGTGGCCGGCAAGATGAAGCCCCATCCCCAGCTGGCCGGGGAAGGCACCTCCATCCATTACCTTGCTGGGCCCGCCCAGCCCCATCCATCAGGCGCCCCAGCCGCTGGCAGGGGCTGTCGAGCGAATTACTTGATAGGCTACGTCTCGCCGAGAGGCTGGCGCATGCGAGGGACCCTCGGGGCAGCGGACGCAGATCCGAGCATAAATTTTTAACCCACCCCGGCAGGTGGGGACGTGAGCTCAGACCCCCCCAGCACGAAGAGGGGGGTCCCCGCAAGCTGTCCCCAGCCAGGCCCCCAGACACGCTGGGCAGCGGCGGCCCGGCGGCCTCACCTGTCTGCCCGGAGTCCCGCGGCAGCATCATGCCCGTGGGGGTCGGGGGCGTGATGATGATGTTGGGTACATCCAGGTGCTTGTCGCTCAGGACGGGGGCCTCGTCATGGCTGCTCCCGCCGCTGCTGCCACACATTTTAAAGCCTGAGGGGGCGGGCCGTGGGACACACACGTACACACACACGACAGGGAGACAAGCATCAGTGGGCGCTGGGGACTGGCGGGGCGGGCGGCCTGCCTCCCTCCCTCAGCGCCGCTCCTCGCGAAGGACTGGGAGGTCTGCTGGCCCCCGCTTTGCACACAAGGGGTCGCTGAGGCGTGGGGCCACAGGATGACCTGTCCACCCTGCCTCGTTCAGGCAGGGCACTGAGTTTCACCTGCTTTGTTCACTAACGTGGCCCCAGAGCGGCGGGCGCCCAGAACAGGGCTCTAAACGGGAGCCTGCCCCCCAGTACCTCTCCCCCATGTCTCCGACCACAAGGGGGGCTGGTCAGGTGTTCTGTGTCCTCCTGTGTCAGTCTGGGCAAGCTGTGCTTTCCTGGGAATCTGCCCATTTCCTCCCCGTTGGTGAATCTGTGGTCCTGGGGCTGCCGGAGTGAGGTTCAGGGGACCCAGCCACGCCCCATTACAAACCTCCAGCTGACAGAAAGGCACCCGCTGACCCGCACCACACGCCTCGCTCCATTAGTCCCTGGGTCAGGGGAACACGATGCGCTAGGAAGCAGAGTGTCCGCCGCAAGGCCTCCCTTTTCTACTTCACCCTCCGACCCCCGAGCCATCCTAACCCGGGACAAGCCCGCGGGTGCCATCCCTCAGCATCTCTGCTCTCCTCTCTCCCTTCCCACGCCCCTAAACAGTCTCTCCGCAGGAAACTGCAAACCTGATCATACCACATACCTGTGGGACCCTCACTTCCTCCTGACCACCCAGCTATAAGTGGTGGCTCCCAAAGTGTGTTCCCCGGAATGCTGGCCTCCTGAGACTCCCTCGGGAAGGGGGTTCCACGATCACACAAGTTTGGGAATACCACATATCTCAGTGTTGACTGGATCCCATCTAATCTATCCTTGTCTTAGAGATCCTCATGCATGTTAGAGAATTAAAGGCTCTGAGAAGTCCTGCAACAGGGAAGCTGCTTTCATAGAGCTTAACCCTGGGCTTCCTGAACTTAAGTCACCTCAGGGTCTGTTTTGGAAGGGATGCCTGTTAACATCTCACAGAACCATGAGTTATGAAATACATTTTGGGAAACGCTGATCATGAATCACGCCAGCCTTCACAATCTAGCCCAAACTACCTGCAGTTTCATTCCTCGCCACTTGCCTGCACTCCCCAAACTGCTCACAGTTTCCCAAAACCCTGAGTTCCCCATGCCTTTGGGCCTTTGCCCGTGCTACTCTCTCTGCCTGGAATGCTCTTTCTTCCTTTGCCAGGGCAATGAGCTCCTACTTAGCCTTCAAAGCCCAGCAAAATAGGCTCTCCTTCGGGGAAGCTGTCCCAGCAAATGCGATCCCTCCCTCCTTTGTCCGTCCACCCTGATTCACTCATCCATCTTCCTCCAGCACTGATCACACTGTACCAAAACATTAGCTCTTAATTTTGTTTCCCTTTACAGAGGGCGGCCAGTGTCTCACTCATTGGTCTCCCTTGGGCCCACACAGTGCCTGGGAGAGGGCAAGCGGTGGGCTGTCAACCGGAAATGAGAAACACCTTCGGGCACTGCTGAACTGGTGTTAAATCCTTGCCTCCAGACCCCACACCTCTTTGTTCTTCACCCCGAAGAGCCCCGGACTGGGATGGCATTCGCTCAGGTATCTGGGTCCCTGTCCCAGTAGGAGCTGGGGAATGGGGTGACTGTCATTCCTGTGGCTCCTTGATGGCCCCTTGGGGAGGGGTCGTGGTTCTCAAGCTTGTCTCCTAGAGGTGGAGTCTGATTTGCCTCCCCTCCCATGTAGATGGTCTCAGCATGGATTCCGGCGCATATGACGGAAAGCATGGCGTGGAACTTCCAAGACAAGGTCACAAAAGACTGACGCTTCCTCCTTGCCCTCTGGCTCTGGGGGAAGCCAGCCACCATGCTGCGGGACCAGCAAGCAGCTGGGCGTGGGGGTGTGTGATGAGGGACTGAGGCTTCCTGCCAGCAGCCCTGTGAGGGAGCCACCAGGACAGGGAGTCCTCCAGCCCAGCCAAGCATTCGGACGACACAGCAGCTCTGGCTGACCGCTTAAATGTCGCCCCACAAGAGACCCTGAGCCAGAGGCCCCCAGCGCAGTCGCTCCTGAATTCCCAAGCCACAGACACGGAGATAATACATGTTCAAGCCACTGAGTTTGAGGGTAATTTGTCATATGGAATTGGAAGCTGATGCAGGCCACAGAGCTCACCCCAACCACAGGAGGAGGAAGGGACAGCAGGTGCACAGTGGGAAGGCCGTACCCGCTGTGCTGTGGGAAAATCACAGGGGGCTTCTCGGGGTGACCTTTGGTCCCCGAAGGGGTGCTCCTCTGATGGGCAGCTCATGACTGGACTGTCAAAGACAGCCTGTTCGAATCTACAAAAGCATGACCATCAGGTGACCTAAAGCAATGGAATCAGGCCAATTTCTTGGCCCATCTGCAGTGTGACCTGGGCTGTGCGCTCAGAAAAGCCGCCAGCAGCAGCAGCAGGCCCAGTGGTGCCGCGTCCCCTCCCCGGGCCTCTGCGTGGTCAGGAGCCTCGTGCTAGGCTTCCAGGAGGCCACGGCCAAGCCCCTGGGCTGCCATGCTGGCAGGAGAGCCTTTGTTCACCTTGGGCCCTCGTCACACTGGACAGTCCAGCCACACGGACTCGGAGTGACACCCAGAGGGACTGGAGACAGACGTGCCTCATGGGCAGTCAACTGTGCCTTTGTAATCAAGTCCCAATGTGTTTGTGCCTTTGGCCTGCCGTGACAGAGGACCATAGACTGTGGGGATCCAACCACAGGACCTCACTCTCCCCCAGTCTGGAGGCCAGACATCGAGAGCACCGGGCCGCCAGAGCTGGCTCCTTCTGAGGTCACGAGCGAGACCGGGTCCCATGCCTCTCCCCCTGCTCTTGGTGGTGGTGGACAAAGTTTGGTGTCCTTTGGCTTACAGACACATCTCCCGATTTCTGCCTTCGTCTTCACACGGCTTCTCCCTGCGTGTGAGTCTCTGTCCAAATGTCACCTTTTCCTAAGGACACCAGGCATATTGGGTCATGGATTATAATCCGTAATAATCCATGCTGGATTATTACCTCACCTAGGATGTCCTCTCGTTAACTCGTCACATCTGCAGGAACCCCATTTCCAAATAAGGTCACATGCTAGGGTCCTGGGGGCTAGGACTTCGACATATGAATTTGGGGGGACACAGTTCAGCCCAGAACCCCCAGTAAAAACTCTGAACACTGAGGCTCAGGCGATCTTCCCTGGTTGGCACCACTGTGTGTGTGTGTGTATCTGTGTGTGTGTGTGACACATCTACACCAAGAGCGTAACACATCTGGGACTCCGCGGAGAGGACGAGAGCTCTGTCCGGAACTTTGCTGGACTCTGCCCTACACACTTCCTTGGTTTGGCCGATTGGAATCCGTGTCCCTTCCCTGTCATAAATCATCACCACAAGTACAAGGGCTTCCAGCGAGCTCTATGCGTCTTTCTAGGGACTCACGGAACCCCTGAGCCCGCAGCTGCTGTCAGGAGTGAGGCTGTTCTCTGAACTGTGTTCCCTCTGACTTCCTGTTTTCACTGACAAAACGGGGTGGCTGGACCCATGTCTGTGGGCCGGGGAGAGGACGACACGGCGCCTGGCGGACGGCCTGCTCCCTTCCGGGGAACTCAGCCGCCGTTCCCTGCACGGCTTCCTCCTTCGCTCACACCAAACTCAAGCCTGGACCGGCTTTCCCAGGCAACGCCCCAGCCTCCGCCCCGTCCCGAGCCCCGACCCTACTCCCTCCCTGGGGTGGCGCTACCCTGAAACACCCAGGCCGGTCA